ATTGAAAACTATAGTGCTGTCGAAGAAAAATTAATGAAACAATGACTTCGTTACAGTATCGCATTTCCCACTTTTTAAAAACCATTGAGACCATTTAGAAACAGATGTTCCAGTATTCAGCTGTCGAAAATACGTGGCTTTTCCTACTTCAAACTATTGTTACAATGATATAGTTAGTTGCCGAATGTTATTCTAAGTAGTTTACCGATATTTTTTATTAAAAAATGCTACTTATACCAATTGCTTGCTTAAATGGATAAGTCTCACAATGCAGGGACTAATGGACATTCATTTTGGCTCCAGTAAATGTCGTTTATTGCAACATATATTTGTTAGAGAGTAATGATATTGATTTCATCTTAGTACACTTATCAAAGTACACTTAAAAATGAGATTCCAGCGTTCTAACTGAATTATTAGTCCACTTTGCACACAGTTTTGTTTTTAAGGTATGTTGGATAACTACAGCGGAATTTGTTCATCTGATGTGTAGCTGGCATAACGTGAAAATTATTGTAGTAAGCGGTTAGGGCAACGGCTAATAGTACCTACGGGACAAGTTGAATTTTTTTAAATCCTGCGATTATCATGTAAACTTAAGAGCTTTTAAGTGACTACAACTTATCAAAACCAGCTACTGATGATCTAATAATATGCTGAACGGTGAAAAAGAGCATTGACTTACACTGTATCCAAATCCTTGTACATATTTTTAAAAATGCTTATCAGTTTGATATTTCTCGTTCTTTGTACATGTTGCTTAAGGGCAGAATAGATGAACAGTGATATTCTTCATCTTGATCAAGCTATTCATAGCTACTTGTTTTTTAGAGTAATGTTTAGTCACAATGCCTCAGTAATATGTACATGACGTTACAGGAAGTAGATATCACTGTTAAAAAGCATGAAACACTGAAATATTTACAGAAACTCACAACTACCGAAATGAATAGGGAATCCATCAAATTCATGCTTGTTAATATATGTGATTGGCACCCTGGTTTTCATTTACATCCACTGTTTTTCTAAATGTGCCTTTCCTCTATGAGTAAGTAAATTTTTCCTAATATTACGATTATAATAATGGTGGCTTTTCGGGGAGCATTGATTTCAGGATATTTTTATTACCGTTTGCAGAAATGTTGAAAATCTGGGAGTTATAAACATCTTTTTCGCCCTTGTTTGGATCTCAACACCAAGCACACTCACGATTCCTGAGGCGATCGAGCTGTGTAATATTAAACATAACAGTAGACCATTGAGTTAAATTCCAGTGGTTCATATTTTCTTACTTCTTGTAGATGACGATATAGTGCGCCATCATCAAATGTCATTTATAGTCATATACCCTCATCCGTACATTACATAACTGTACAACATTATCCCCCAGTAAATTTCACTCTCTACATTTGCCCCCTTACTTCTACATAAATTAGTAAAATTTTACAACAGCCTTGTCACTTGGTTGTATGACAAACTGCCTTCGGTTGACTTATATTTGCTAGCAGTTTCGCCCAGTCAAGATGGTATCGTTAACAGGATTACAACCCCAAACTTTACTGAAGCAAGTGATGAGTATATCGTCACTGAAATAGATTTAAAGCTCTCTGATGACGAATAAAGTCAAAAGGAAAAATCTCCCTTTGTCGGCTCGAAGGAATGTGACTGTTATAACTCGTTCTCATCAATGCATTAACGCAGTAAAGAATGTGATGCAATTATCATCGAAAATACGAAGATGAACTATGACTTTGATGACTGTGATGATTCAGATTCAACACTGACCAACAGCAGTCATGTGTTTATTGAATCTTCAATTAATGCGTCAGAAGCTAGGAAATTACTTAGTTACGATAGACATTTGGAAGATGTTCATAAAGATAAAGAGGAACTGGACGTTGAGGTTTCTCAAAGACAGCAGTCCAAGAGATCCTGTTGAAGCTCAACATAGAGTTCATCATTAGTTACTTCACGTCAAATGTATGAGACCCTAGTAAATAAGTGTTGATTTTATTCCTTGAGTATAACTCTTACATTTTGTATGTTCATAGCATTTTATTTACTTTCAGGGCGTTAGTTATGGGTTTGTTTATTGTTATTGTATGCCTGGTGTTGCCTAAATTGTTATCTGTCTTCGTGCGTTATGTTTGCATTTTCTAAAATAAGTAGTTTTTAGTGACTTTTGGTTATTTCTTTTTTTGCTTTGATTACATCGATAAAAGATAAGCAGAAGTCCAGTACGACAAAAGGTTAGCATTGCATATGTTTCATCTGCCTAAACCTTTATGATGAAACCCTTTTTTCTACTTTATCAAAGATAAGGGTGCATAAGTTACTCCTATGCTCGTTACCTATTCATAGATTAAAATATCTCAGTAGCCTGAGGAAAAAGGCTGGTGGGAGATTAAGTCATGTTGTTTAGTCCTCACTATTACTATTATTGTTATTATTATTATTATTATTATTATTATTATTATTATTATTAGTATACCTAGAGGGGTATTTCATCTTAAATGTTGCTTTTTATTTGCTGACTTCAGCTGGTTGTTGCTTATTCTGACTTCAAAAAGCCGTCTACATTATCAGGATTCGATTTTAAACATTTTCACCGGCTGATTTCGTTTCTATTCATGAATTAAAAGTAGGTTAAATGAAATTCAATCCTGCTTAAAACCTCCTGCTAGAGAAACATTTGTTTTGGAAATATTTACAGAAACTTACTTTATCCTTTATGTTTATGAGGTGTAGCGGATATTTTCACCAATTTCACCACCAAGCTTTATATTAAGATGACTATTTGGCAAAGTTTACCTAGAAGGTTACAATTAACACTCACGACGGAATTAGACAAGCCGTTAATAAGTTTTAGACAGTTGATGTCAATAAAACAAATGCAAAACTTTCTAGTTAACTTTTAGCATTTAAGTATAATTATTAACCCGTATACTGTCCATGGAGTTGGCTAGTTGTAGCTAGTTTTATATGAATGAAGTCAAATATTTGTCTCTCATCAAACGTTTGAACAATGAAAACTAATGTGAACAAGGTTATTGCTTTAGCAATAATCGAGGATTTTCTGTCGTTTGGCCTTACCTTGGGTTTGCTCTATTACTATTCACAACCGTGGAATTGGTAAACTTTAAAAAATCAATAGGATCCTGGTTGTTTTTGCTTGCATTATACTTCCGAAAATAAAACCGTAGGAAAATTATAAACAAAATAAATGTCATAGGCTGAGTAGGACATTCTGTACCCAGCGTACTAGCGATACCCAGCAGTATCAGCTTCAAATAATGTACAATTTAAGGAGGTCAGTAAAGTAATGTCACCTGTTAGAGAGAGGAACGATGTGTATGTTAGCTTATATAAACCACAAATGTGAACAGAGGTCAGCGACAACGTTGTTTCAATAGCATGTCTTCTTATTTCAATAAATTATGCTGTAGATAGCCGATAACATGGAGCAGTTTGTCGATTCCAATCCTTATTTCTTGGTAGCAGGTGTTTTTACATGTGATGTTTTTTGTACATAACCCTGTAGCTGACTGGACCAAAATTTGTCGGTCTCTAATGGCACATCCGTCTGAAGAGTCCTAAATGGGAAGAAATGCGCGTCTGGATTCCACTGCTAGCCACTATCCATCATGAATACATTTTTACATGATCATATTTTTGAACAACTGCCTTAACATTAAGCAAGATATCTAATAATTAGAATTCTGAAATGAAGCACGGCTGAAACCTGAGAAGTGACTACCTTTCAATCAATGTAGGAAGTGTCTTTTGGTACGGTATAAGCTATTTAAATCAGTTACTTTGACCTTGGCCAGTGGAATGTGTTTTTTTAATGGAATAGAAATTAGCTATCTATTAAACGGCCATCAACAATACGCTCTGTTGTACTTGTCAATACTGATGATGACTCTGAGTTTGTTAGTTTGAATGTAACTCTTTTGAGGATTTTCAGCGTTACGTATAAAAACTCTATATTTCTTTCTGCTTATGAATAGTAAAGGTGTATGAGACAGAATAGCACAGGGTAACTTATGTGAAAAATCATAGAGATCAAATTGCCAGGAAAGTCTTTATGCATGTAGTTGTCGTAAATCAGCATCGTATCACCACCAAAATCTCCCTGACCTTTGTACCTTGCTTTACAGATATTATCTGGCAAAGAAATCGAAAGCTCCTAGTATTTGAAAACTTATTTGTCAGGGTTACTTCCTAGTTTCAGCATGCTTTACTCCTCTTGGTATGTCCTTCATAAGTTTGTGCAAATTGCGATCAAGTCACCCGGAAGGAGTGAGGATAAGACACCACGGCAAAGCTGAGACATCAGCAATTCAAAAGTCCAAACCATCATTATGCATTCAGAAAGTATGTAAAACCCGTTTTCTTTGCACTGACCACCGTGAAGGATTGATCACTCTATATAGGTTCCATATGATATAATTCGGTTTTCTCGTCTAACGGTTTATTTATTTCCTAGTTCCAAATCCCTATATATGTTGTAAAACTTTTCTTTTTTTATACAACGTAGTGTTTCTTTCCATAAGATGAATGCAACTATCGAAAATTCACCTAGGTTTACTTTCGACCTTGACAATTGCATTTTCCCCTTTTTATTTCATTTTTATCACCCCTTTCACACCACTACTCTATTCACTGCCTTCGTCCTCCTGAATTGCATTTGAGACTCAGTGAAAAATGGTTTATACTTTGGAGTTAAATTTAATCAGACAAAACGAAAACCACCAATAGGGATCAAATAAAAAAAGTGGATCGAGACTGGCTTAACTCTGTTTTGAAATAATTCAAATGTTTTGATTATCAGCATGCATCCATTCATGTATCTATGGTGTATATGCACGTTTTATCGAACCTTTACAATGCTTCATTTTTCAATACAATCTTTTATTGTTTTTAAAATACAAGCGTTCATATTTCATTGACTAATATTCACAGTGTTGTTTCATCTGTTCCTTTTCCGCAATAATTAGACAAACAATCAAAATCCCTCCATGTAAGTGCATTCCATTGTCTTTGAATTTGATTTACAGTCTGATTATCTATATTTTTTTAATTTATTGTGTCTGATTATATTGTCTCAAGATATTTTTTCCGATTCCCAGCCTGTAATCTTAACTTCCTTAAAGTCCTCCAGTACTTACTTCTTATGAGCCTACAGAGCTCAAGTTCGACTATTCTGCTGGAAGGATTTAGCCTTCTGGTAACTGCATTTTACAGAATTATGTGATCATTTATTTTCAAAAATCTTAAATAAGTGACCACTACCACTGATTATTCTTCCGCCATTTAGTTTGACTTACTCCCCGTTAATCGCCGCATTACTGCTCTTACCTATAGTAAGTTGATAGTCCCACAAACTACGGAAAGAGCACAGTCATCATCCTTATCGGGCTTAAGGTGGATGGATTTTGTCATTAAGAGGTAAATATAGGCCGTGATATTATGGCTAGATATCATAGTAATGAACCCTGTGTGAACTACTGTATACAGTTGGGAATTCGATATATCCGTTTGGAAAACATATCAAAAAGTATCCAATAAAATGTTCATAGCACATCATAATACTGTTTTCTAATATAAGCTCCAAGAAATACCGTTGTCAATATTCGGAGTACAGCTAGGTGATTTGGTGGTTACCAATCAAAAGACCTGAAGAACATATCACCTTATTTACAATAAAAAAGTGAGAGAGATGGATTGTCATAGTAGGATGAGTCTACCAAAAACCCAGGGAAAGAATATGAGCTGTCAATCGATCAAGAAGACGTACTAAATGCATTCTTTTTCATTCCAGCGTAAATGAACGGCATCCCATCATATTTTGTTGCAGATAAAACTTACGGTTTAAACTCAGATTATTTTGCTCTTTAAAGTAACAAATTGTTTAGTAGAATTTCGTAACTACTCATTAGATTTCACAGATTTATTTATCTGACCGTGTATTCAAAAATCAGAAATCTTTTACCTGAAAGTGATTAGAATTGTACAACCATAAACGTTTGCCTAGATATTTTAGAAAATAAAAGGTGTCAATAGTTTTATAGGCGAATTAAAATTATTTTTTACTTTTTCCAATCAGTAAAGATGTGTAACACTACATATATCTGTTGCATAATGAAAAATGATCTCATAACTAAGTTTCGATTTTACAGTAAAAGATTCACTGTATGCATATGAAATATGTACATTAAATTGTAAATATGATTATCGAAAAGCTGAAACATGAATGCAGGTTTATTACTACCATAGTGGAGGGTAAAGATCCAAACGCCGTCTAAATAATCACTTTTAGTTATACAGATTCTTGTAAGCATATTGTGCAGAATATTTTATGAAATATTTAAACTTAATTTTTTTTAAAGCCACGCCCGTTAGAAAAATGATTCTTATCATTATCGTTTTTGTTATTATCTCTCTTCATATAAACTGTTAGTCTGACCAATACATCATTTTTCTGTATTTACTTTCATCCACAAAGAATTCACAATCTCTGGTGGATAGTGGTTATGTTCCACAAAGGACACACTCATGGATTGATGATGAAGTTGGTCGCGCAGATGACAACCATCATGTATGTTGTATGTGTTTTTAGTTGAATTGTTTATTCATAGTGCATTTGTTGTTTTCGGTACACAGTAAAATAAATGGTTTATTAGATCTATCAACTGAAAGGAAATTACATTCTACCGCAGTCCCTATGCCTTACTCTTATATTAACAAATGGTTTATTTATAATGTTAGAGGACTGAATCTTTTTTGTTCAGCTGTCATGCTGATTGAAAATATTTTGACTTTCACAAAGGTGAAATGAATAGGTTTAGAATACCAAAGGGAGATAATTGTGTTACTATGGATGATGATGGTAACTAATTTGCCGGAATCACAATTTTTCAAACAACTGTTAAACCGGTGTGTTTAATATGTCCAATAAGTATGACTTAAAACTCACAGTAGGTGAGTGAATAGAAATTTCTGCAATGACTTCTCATCAGTGGACTCACAGATGAATTTAACAGAAATAAAGCCAAACAACTTTTAAACGCACAACTGTTCAGACAGGCAGATACGGAAAACAGCCAAGTATCATGTTCAAGCATATAATGTCAATCACTCAGTAGAGTAAACGAATAACATTTTCAGCATGCCGTTTGAACTACTAATATTAAATTGATATTAAATCTCCCCTCACTATTGAAGATTGTCATCGTTCAAGTCGTCTGACACGTGTATCAATAAATAAAGAAACAAAAGCGGACAGAATCTATGGCAGGGTGTCTAGTTTTGTTCGCTTTTTATATTTACTATTCACATTTATGTACACCTGAAATTTTGCAATTTTTAACAGCACCTTCGAACTTTATCACTATCTCAGTCATCCTCACCGCAGTTGCGTAAAACAAATCTGCTTGGAGACGCATCAGCTCCGCTTCATAGCCAAAACACTGGACTCAGTTCATCAGAATGCTATAGCCCATCAATTGGCAGTGAAACTGCATCAGTAACTGAAAAGAAGATAACTTCCTCTTTCACTGATTTGAGACCCAGAAAAATTCCATCGAAGCATCAGAAGCGTTTGGATTCCGATACAGGAAGTCGATCAAATCTAAGTATAGCCAGTGGGGTAAGTAAGCAGTTTATGAGTAATTTACAGCTTATATATATATATATATATATATATATATATATATACTTCAGTAATGCTTACCGAAACTAATGATTGTTCAGTTTAAGTGGAAAAACGCCTAATACTTCGCATATGAGTGGCTGTCTTGCAAAGAAATCTAAATATAGCCAATAAAATCTAATCACCCTGTGTGGTTCACTACCTTAATTTCAAATTGGTTTCATTTCGCCGGACAATTAACCAAAAATCTAGATTTTTTATAATGCATATTTCTCATGGAAGAAGAGCTTTCGCATATTCTCCTCCTCTAATAAGCTTCTAAGAAATAATTATATTTTTGTTTTTCTCTTGGGTTCCCAGTGAAATATACGGCTTCAGTAACACGCCTCCATTCCACTCTCATCTCTGCAGTCATTTGAATCTCTCTCCACGACTGCCTACAAGCTTTCATTTCTTCCACACATGATCTCTTCCATGTCACCCTCACCTCAGATGCTCAACTCGTCGTTCACCTCAGGATTCCACTCGATGGCCTGGCCTGACCTGTCGCGTGATATCCCCAATCCGCCTACTCACTGCATGCCCAACCCAATCCATCTCCACTTTCTTCTGTATATTTGTTGAGTGATAGATAGGTTCTTGGTTGGTTCGTCAACTGCCAGAATTCCTTGTTGCTTATTCGCATTATTTTGGCCATCTGAACTTCAGTAACGAGCCAGCTTGGGAAGTTGTTGATGAATGTCTGTAGTTTGTTGGAAGTGCTTTTCATGACGCGCCAAGTCTGTGAACCATATAGCACCACTGACTTGATTGACTTAGTGTTGAAAATCTGGATCTTGTTCCTTGTACTGAGTGCAGTGGATCTCCACACTGATTTCAGGTTAATGAAGGCCTATCTTAGTGTTTTCCCGATCCTGTCTGATTTTGACATCCTCGTCTGTACCGCCTGTAGTTGAAATTATGCTGCCTAGGAAGGTAGGTGAAAGGGACTACTTTCTTTAGATTTCTCCTGTTAATGGTGATTGGTGCTTGTTGTTGATGCTGTCTTTGGTTGGGTGTTTTCATCACCTCCTTTCTCTTTATATTTACTTGGAGTCTCGTTTCTAAAAAATATCAAGGCTTTATAAAGTTCTTTCCATTTATGAACTTGGATAGCGCAAACTAAGTGTAGCAAGATAACATGAACTCATTCTCATTATCAGTTCGAGAATTCTTCTCAATCTTTTTACAAACCACATAATGTCAAAATCTAAGCATAACAATAATTCAACTCACTTTTAACAAGTTGATCAAAAGTTACTGACAAGGTCGATCGGAAACAAAGATAATGTCGATGATTAAAGTAGACAAGATAATTAAGAATGAGACAGGAAAACTGTTTGTATGATTATAAGGTGAAAATTCTTGATCCAGAAAGACAAAACGTGTATGGAAAATAATTACCATAGGTTGTGTAACTTTAAAGTATTGTGAATCTGCAAGAGCTTGGAGAGTAAAATGAGAAGAACTCAGGTAAAATATAGGGGTGTGAGACAGAACAAAATGTGCATAGTCGAATGACGTAACAAAATACCCAGTGCTGAATGACCTAACGAAAGTTTCCGTGCTTTTTATTGTCAGCAAATTATCATGATAGTTTGAGGTTGACAACTGTTTTCTTGTTCAAGGAGAACACCACACAACCAAGACAATCGTATCTTTTTGAACTCAGATTCGGTTTCAATATGTTGATAGCTACTATTGCAGTGAAACGTAGTGGGTTTGAT